ACCGTGATGGTTCAATTAAAATTTTTTTAAAAATCTGAACTAACCGTGGGACAACTTCCCAGAAATGAAACTTACTCTTGATGCCGTTCCCCAACAAACTTTTAAATCTCGTAGTTCTCTTCCGGATGACACCCCTTGTCTCAAAGACCGTTATGTAACGGTTTATAGGGATTTATAGGCGAGGGCTCTAACCAAGGAGGGGGGGGTCGAATTGCATTTTAAACCCACCCACGCTGTGGATCCAGTGAGTAAATTGCCAATAATAATTTATCCAGGGCAGCAGGAGGAGGATTTATTCTTTTATTCGGCTCGCCTTTTCATTGCTTTCGCCTGTCCACAATAGCAGCCGATGCCATCCTGCACAAAAGCTTTACAGACTTCCCAACTGTTCAGAGTCGAGGAAAACCCTGCCACCGAGACGGGGATCAGGTGCACTGACCGCCTAATAATTCCCCCTGCCCCCCCCCCCCCCGCCTTTTTTTTTTTGTCTGAGGAACCTCAATGTTCTGGGAAAACGTTTGCTAATGAGGAAATGGAGAGAACGGTGCGGGGGGGGGGGCAGGCGAGGGCGGGCGGGTATGGAATGAAACCTACCAGTCAGGGCAAAGCATCAAAATGCAACAGTTGAGTCCGTTGACTTAGTTGAAGCTCTTTGCTCATCCAGATTGTCAGTCAAGCCCTGTCCCAAACGCATTAATTGGCAGGAGAACTTACGAAATCTATTCACTCTAGCCCTCTCTATTCTAAACTGCGTCATCATCATCTTCTTCTTCATCATCACCCCCAATCTCGATTTAAATGACAACAGTACTATTAATACTTTAATTCCCTCCTCCCTCCCTTATTCTCCCCACCTTGCTCATCCCACCACCTTCAAAACGCGGACCCTGTCTTTGGAATGAGCAGCTCTTTTCCGTCCAGCCTGAGGGGAATCCATCTGCTTCGTTTCGCACCCCCAAATCGGTGTCAGCCAGGTTCTGAGTCACAGAGCAGATGCTATGGGGCCGTATCTATTTAACCTCCCCCCCCCGCCCCCCTCACTTTCAAAGCTTACTTCGGTAATCGGAAGGGACGGGGGGGGGGAGACGGGGGAGGCAGAGAGAAAGGTTAAGTCTAGAAGCTTTTGCAACGTTTTCTAGGAAACGAGCCTCACTGGGCATCAGTGTAACTTCCACTCCGAAGTAAAACCTCTTGGAGCCGGCTGGAAGCTACCACGGAAAGCCAAGAGCCGATCAATGGTTCAATGGCTCTTCTTCTTGGTTTAATGCGCATTTGATCGAAATCCGTGCTCAAAAGGGCGAAGGGTCGCCTGCATCCGAGCTATCGCTTCTCCCACCTAAGCCGGACATCAAGGACAAACATTACCTCTCCTCTTTTTTTTTTCTTTTCTTGCTTTCTTTTTCAGCGCGTCCTCCGCAGCGCCGGTTTCATCACCTTCTTGCTCCCGGGACGCTTTTTCTCGGGCGCGGGGGGTGGGGTGGGGTGGGTGACTTTTGATTTACTTCATCGATCCGGTACGACGATGGTGACTTTTTTCTTCGAAGCATAGCGGCTTCAAGAGACTCAAGGTTATATAGGCAGACTGGGCTGCTTGGGAAGGGGAGGGGCGGGGAACGGGCGGCTCCGCCTGGTCGCTCCCTCCCCGCCCACTTCTTCGGGAGATCGCGTCAGCCTTCGACCGGCACGCGCCATCTGGTCCTCCCCCCGCCCCCCCCATCACCACCACCACCACGTCAGGCTCCGAAGCGGCGGGCGCGGGGAGGGGGGCGGGGCGGTAAGGGGGTGGGGGGAGAAGGTTTGGCGGTGTCACGTGAGCTGCCCATTTGTATGCCTCCCTGCTCTCCCCTCCATCCTTTTGTGGCCCGAAGAAAGTGGCCATCTGTCGCCAGCCGGAGACTCTACGGACCTGTTTGTACCCGCAGGAGAGATTAACCCGTTTCTCCTGCGCCGGGCTCCGGGTTGTTGGGGAGGGGAAGGGGAAGGGGGAGGGAAGGTAGGGGCTTTTGCCACTTGCACTTTGCCACTCTACGACAGACTGGCTTCTGTAGAGAGAATGGAAAGAGGAACAGATTTCTCTCCCCCCGCCTTTGACCTCCCCCTTCCCCCCC